AGAACTCAATCGATAGTGAGACTCTCGATTGAAGTTCAAAATCATCTTATAAATTCTCACGATTCTCATTCTTGATCACCTTTCTACGTGATGACGCGTTCTGACATACTGCGTTTCATATTACGCATGATCGTCACTCACGTCACTGCCGCGTCACGTCACATAGACCATTGATCAATAATCGACCAATATGATTGTTCAATACATCAATACGTCCAACAAGAACAATCCAAATGCATTTCACGTGGCCCAAGCTTCACAATGATGTTGAGAAGCTTTGCAAACAGTGCCGTACATGCAAATTGACCAAAAAGACAAAAAAGAAGTATGGGCATTTACCTCCCAAGATGGCAGAAGTCATACCATGGGACACTCTTTGTATCGATCTGATTGGTCCATACTACGTCACCAAAGAACAAGGCAAACAAAGATGGGAACTCCATTGCCTTACTATGATTGATCCCGCAATTGGATGGTTCAAGATTGCAAAAATACCGGATAAGAGAGCTGACACAGTATCTAATAAATTAGAACAAACATGGTTAGTCGGATATCCATGGCCACAGCATTTGATCTATGATCGTGGAAGCAAATTTATGGCATAAGTTCATGAGATGCTTAAAAATGATTATGGTTGCACGGTGAACCGGACAACTACTCAAAACCCTCAAGCGAATGCCATTGTGGAATGAGTCCATCAAACAATTGGAAATATGATCCAAACGTTCTTTGTTGATGCCACAGAACTTGATGAAAAGGATCCTTATACTGGCATTTTATCAGCGGTTGCACTCCCGACGCAAGCAACCATTCATACTACATTAAATGCAACGCCCAGTCAATTAGTCTTTGGCCGCGACGCAATGCTAGACATAGAATTCCACGCAGATTGGAATGCTATCAAAACTAGAAAACAAAAGGACATAAATGAAAATGATCTTTGGGACAATGCAAAGCGAACTCCCCACAATTATCAAGTTGGCAACCAAATCATGATCAAGAATGATCCAAGCCGCAAATTTGGAACGAATGCTTATTTGGGTCCATTTCGCGTGACCAGCGTTAATGACAACGGCACTTTGCGATACCAACGTGGTCAAATCAACAATACCATCAACATTTGGAATGTTTCGCCATATCAAGTCAGCTGATGAGGGACACAATGCAGTATATGCTACACTGGTCCGTCAATGGAGCACTAACGAACAGTGCTTGCGTTTAGCGCACACGGACACCTGTGACGTTATTATAGAACAGTAATCACAGGGGTCAACTGCTGGACTAATACGAATGTATGTCTGGGCCGCGTACGTACGTCTACCGTACACATGATGAAGCACGGTTTTAGAACTTCTAAGAGGACTGATCACCCTCACAGAAGGTGGGTGCCTTCCATAATGAAGTCTCAATGCAAATGCAATGTAGCTGATGCTATTGCAGAGAACACATGGTACTATCCTACAGTACTTCTACATATGCTTCCTTGCCACCTCAGCACTACATCAGCTCCACATCAGCTCCACATCAGCTCCACATCAGCTCCACATCAGCTCCACATCAGCTCCACATCAGCTCCACATCACATCCAATTTCATTCCTAGAATAATCTCACAATATTTTAGAGCTACTTCTCATCACTCCTATTACATTCCACCTTTGTACATACGACAATGGTGGAAGACTTGAAGGGCGAAGGGATGCGGGATACCCAATCCCTGGTATTTCAGAGGGGCAAAGACCACGACAAACCCCAGCTTTGTGCAAGCTTGTTTGGAGGATTGGTGACATGATGGACACCCATTCGGAGCGGCCTAGTGCGGAAAGGGGCATCACATACTCCAAAGTTTTTAAGGCGGTTGCCTTGATCAAGGGAAGAACATCGTAGCAAAGTAGATGTTGGGGACGGAACTTGGCGGCCCAGTTCTTGGCCTTCTCCCGCAGAGCAAGGTGTTGTGCTGTGCCGGTCTCCAGTGGGGCCATCATGACTCCCAGGGTCCGTCCAGCTTCATCTGGTTGGAGACGTTGGAGTGTCGCCCAAAGCCCAGTAGGTCGTTGGAGGGTCAGTTCACCAGGCATTTCAGCCTTCCTTCAAAACACCCACGTGCCAGAGGACGGCCGCCATTTGAAATCAATCAGCCACCAGAAGGACTTTGTCGGGTTGATAGCTTCACCGGTGGCACTGATGCCACCGGACCAAAGTTCCAATGCCGACTGTACCGAAGAAAGGAGGTGTCAATGATGATTGTCACAATGCCAGGAGTGTGTTAATCGTCAGGAACTCATAAGAGTGGTTACATTAGGTGACTCACTGGTCTTTGACTGTGCTACGTATGACGGACAGACAACTCTATCCTGACAAATATCGGTAGGCATGTTGGGACGATTGGGATGATTACCGGTAGTTGAAAGGTGTTTAACGATACTAGGCGGCCTATACTATACTATCTCTTCACTAGTCAAAAGAAAATGAAACTTCCTTTGGTTTGCTTTGGATTGTGTTGCGGCCAAAGTTTCCAAAGATTGAGCCACAAAATCAGATGTACTATTTTTTTCGTAGAAGCGCGTACATTCTGTGCGAACCAGTTTGTTTTCGAGGTCTCAGTTTCAACTACTAACATGCAGAGAAAGTAAAAACTAACATTCAATAAATGGCAGACAACAAAACACTTCAATGCATTTGATAACATGGTTCCGATCTACCTACAGTATGCCACCTGGATCAGACACGATACAAGTCGGATCGTACTCGTTTTACTACAGTTACAATACATGTAGAATGCTTTAGAGTTTGGCTATTTGTCGATTAGTCTGAGTACTTTTATAATAAAAACAAAAATCCAAACTATTCCAGTTCGTGCCTACAAAACAATATTTACTCACATATTGTACAGGTTTGCAATTGCTTTCAGCGCTATCAACATCTGACGAGAGCATGGTTCATGTTTCATCCTTTTTCATTGGATCAGCTGTATCTGGGGCTTCATTTCTAGCGGTGCATAGACAGTTATCGTTCCGAAGCCAGCAAACTGATTGGCCTCTAGTCGGTAAGAAGTCAAGACGGTGTATCACGAATTCGAGCTACCATACTTTGACACTGTCTTACTAACCCTGATTATCTCGGACAGAGAGTTGGTTCCGTAATCGACTACAAAATGCAGCTACCCAAACATCATCAGTTCGTGAAGAGAAAGTCGGGGTGTCAAACCGATGGAACGAAGCGCTCGATACTATCAGGACCAAACTCGGCAAATAGTGGTGCTGTTTCTATTCCATCATGGGACGCACTCTGTACGGAGGTGGTCCTTCATCTCTTCTATAGCAAAGAGACGATAACCGTAACATAGCAAATATAACTGGCCTGACTAGAAAGCACATCGTTGCAACCCTATTATTCATCAAATTGTCGCGCAGGACAGAACCATGACACTAGAAAGGTAGTTCCTCTTCCAAACACTTTCCAATCAAGTTCCGACATTTGCGCTACCTAGGCAAACAAATTCGAGGTGAACGGTTTTGCTGTATTAATTCTTCCAACATTGCACTGTCAATGATTGATTCATGTCTGAAAGATGACGATGTATAGCTTGGAGTTGGTGTATTTCATTGTCACCACGTCATCATCATTTGGATTCATTAAACATTTGGATTCATTCTATGAACCGTCTTTATTTTAAACCGTCAGTGATGAACGGCTCTTACCCGGATAATTGACCACCCCACACAGATTGCACGCACAGTCAGTAGCTACAACTCTTGCTCAGTGTCAATCAAATCTGCAGGAGGAACGTAGCCCTTCACGCTTGTTTGAAGATCTTCAAACGAAGCCCTTTTACCAACCAGATCCATCAAGGGCTTTAAATGTTTTTCGTACCTGTACAAAAACGCAAGTCAATCGTAAAAAACTGGAGCGAAAGGTTTCAAGTACAGTTTTCTCAGATGTTACGTACCGACGCCACGATTGAATGCTATCCTTGTATACACCTTTTCTAACTTGAGTAGTCGATAGCGTGTTTACAGCATGCTTTTTCTTGTGAAAGTTGAGCACACTTTCGTCCCACTCGAGGCCTGTAACTTCAATTATTTTTCGTGCAATACCGGGCATATCATTCACCATGTCTTCGTAGCGAACATGTGTCACTCTGCCGGGAAGTTCCTTGTCCCAGTGGTCCTGAGTAAGGTAGAGTGAGGAATCTGTAAGAAAAGACATTTTCAGAAAATCACTGATTCAAAATGTGGCATACCATGAGGTTCCTGTAGCTGTGGTAGAGCTCTGCAAGACTCTTAAACGAAGAAGTATAATCTAAGGAACCAGGGGGGAATTCATGTTTGAATGCCGACAGAAGGGTGTCCATCGGCTCTCTGGTACCAGACAAAATAGGAATTAGGCAACTCTTGCAAACTGTTTGGAGCAAAGTCAGGGGCTCCAAACGGTTTAAGGGGCTTACCTTGCAACGTGTAAGATCAACGCATTTGGAAAGAGCATGTGAATAAAACCCACGTTGTAGTAGTTCGTCAACATCTTATCAACCATTTTGGAAGGACTGTAGTCTTCATCAACATTGGACACCATTCGCCATCTTTGGAGCATCTCTGTAACAACGCCATCCCCCAGCTTTTCGATCATACTTGCCAAATTCGAGGAGTCAAGGACGCTCGTTTCAACAATTTTATTGCGGATATGATCAAGTTGTCCATTGAAGACTGAATTCTCACCAGTGCCAGCGATCTGAGGGTGAGAGTCAAGCAAGCGTTCCAGGAGAGTGGAACCACTACGAACAAATCCAATGATGAAGATCGGGGCACTCGATGAGCTCCCAACCCCTTCTGGAAAGAAACCTTTGTGAAAAATCTGTTTCGTCGTTTCGACCTTTTGTCGTTCGAAATCAAAGTTGAATGGCTCAATCGCATTCATCTTATACTCATATGACTTCGTGAGAGACTCCCACGCCAGATCCGTTTGTTTTGTTTTCACATCGTGATACACGAACAGGACGTGGTACAGTCGGTTGAGAGACTGCAAGAGCACGATTTTTGTCTCTTCCGTGGCAGAACGAAGTTCCATCTCCAGTAGCGGAATCAAGTCCATGAGAATTCCGATCATCGGCCCCCATCCATCTGGGACAGCACTCTCTTTTGCCTGCAATATTCTTGCAAGACCAGTGAATACATCTTGAAATCTCCGACTTGAATCATTGTGCATCACAGCGCTGAGATCAGACGCTGCAGCTGCGTAGTTACCCAAGATAATGTTGGAGCTTCCTCTAGATGACAAAGCATCCAAATACGACGGATTGATTTCCAAAGCACTACCATACGATTCTAGATGACAAGATGTGGAACAACAGTATCGTAAGCAACAGATATACATTCCTATCGAAAACCTGAATCAGGCGACTTACCCACTGCTCTGTAGTGTTCATCGCAGGTGTTGTGTGTGAGCGGCAGCAATCGGGCTGAAAGAGGAGAAAAATGGTACGATAGGTCACGGAAGCACGTACCTTTCAAACATGTTCGCCATAAAATATGTTTTACCTAGCGATGTATAGAGAGCACACATAATACCATCAATGCTGCGACTGCCATAATCTAGAAGCATTTCGCCGTACGTTTCGTCCCGTTGGCTGCCGTGAAGCAAACTGGTTTCATGCCCCTGCGAAACCATCTCTTCTCTCCTAGCCTTTGCTAGATTGATAGCTTTGTGGAATGTGTCCAATGCTTCCTTTTGTACCGAGCCACCATCATGATACTGCACATCAAAAAGACGCAGTGCCTCGGCCAAGGAAATGGCTTTACCTAAATCGTCTGCATTTGCCTGAAACGAGACATTGAGTGAGATTTCAGAGCAGATTACTCGTATAGTTTCAGATATATTTCAAATACCTTATAGCTCTCTCGGAGGGCTGCAATATCGCGCAAATGTTGTTGGCGGACAAAGTCGGTGGATGCACCTCGAGGGGGATCAATTGGTTCCTCGTCGGATTTCTCACTTTCTTCGGTCTGCGATACCTTCGAGCTTGCAGAAGATTTCAAATTCGGATACGATTGTTCGGGTAGTCCAACTATGTCCGTTGTAATATCCCCCCAGTCAACTCGCTTCCTCCCGATTGATTCAACAATCTCAATGTATGAAGTTGGTTTGTTAGCCAGAACTGTGGGCAATCCCGAAGGTCCTTTCTCCACTGTCAATGGACCCCTCTTTGTCGAAATCTGGCGCTTGCTCTTACTAGGTGTGGAAGTGGGGGCGGGAATTGGACTCGTTGGCTTTGGATTATCCTGAACACTCAGGGGAATTGAAGCTTGATTAGTATCTACTGCGAAGCGTGACAACGCTGCAATGAGAACAACCGGGACCACCCAACAAACGAATACAGCAACCGGCACAGAAGGGTAATAGTGCGGGGCCATCTGGGGGTCTACTATCTTGTCTTCCTTATCCACCATTTCAGGACTTTCTCGCTTCGTTATTATACAGTGCCGGTACCGTGTGGTGTTGTGATGTGTGCGTTGATGTCACACCTCACACCACTTTCCAGCCATCGTCAATGCTTCGTCCGTCTCGTCTGTCATTTGTAGGTATCAAGGGGGTCTGTCGCATATTGAAACAGTGGGGTTTTCCCCAAAGTCCGTCCCTCCTGGTAGATAGTTGTCAGTACTTCCTTTACAGTGTAGGACACATGAAACTGCCATTCTCTTTCTACCCGAGTAGTGCTCGAGTATACTAGACAACAACACGAGGACAAGTGCACTGGTCTATCGGTTTCAGGCTTCAAATAGTACATTTGAAGTTATCGTGATTACACG